TGTAAGTAAACGAATGAATATAATAGAAGCTTGTTCACTTGATTACGTATCGGTAATGATGTTTAATTTTGATTTTTTAGGAGACGTTGCGTATTATAGGTATATATATATACATATATATGTGTGTGTTCGGGTATATATATTATATATATTATATAAATAAACAGATGTACCGGTACGTACTTGTACTAACATGTGGACAATAATGTTCCACAAAGTCACTTAAAAGTACGTACCTCAAAAATAATAATAGTTTCGAAACATGCGGCTTATGCTAAAGAAAGAAATAGGTTGAGACTTTCTTTTTCATTCATTTTTATATTTTTTATTTGCATTGAAGATACTTTCTTTTATAATCCAAAAATTATTTTATGTTTTTCTAAACGATCCAATGCAAAAACTCGTTTTACGCATTTTGGGCCGTTTTTCTCGAAAAACCTTCATTCGAAGTGCCTGGAAAAATTTGAACAGTCTAAGTGAACACGATGAACTAGTTGACGCTCTGGAAGCTCTCATATCAATGTCTCATGAAGGTATTCTTTTCTTTGCGCAAAATTTATACGTTTGTGAAATATCCGCCTTATTTACATTTAAAAACATGCAATTTTTTTTTGAAAATTGAAATTTTTTAGAAAACGAATTCATTGAACTTATCACCGTCATTGCTGACGTTCTTTCGGAGGCACCTATGGCCTCGGCTTTTTTATGTCATATTATTGGTAATTGGTTTACTTTTTATTCTTTTTTCGAAAAAAAACTTTATGAACTATTATACATTTTCTGAAAAAGGATATTTTATAAAAAATAGATAGTGCTGCACTTCCTTCCAAGGAAACATCACATAAAATAACGACAAGACTACTTCAAAAACTTAAACCAGGCTTATGTATGAATTATATTTCTTTAATCTACTCTGTCGATTTCTAGAATCATGGCAAATCGTGTATTTAAACTTATATAATTTTAGGTCGAACTAAACCAAAGAAGCGTATACGAGTTAATGTCTCTATCATTTGGAGTGTCCTTGCTGAGAAATTGGCAGGTGAGATCGATTGCGAAAATGATAAAAAAAAAAAATCCCGAGATATTGTGAATAAACTATAACTTTTTGAATAGGCGAAATTAGTTTATCACTATTTACTAATAGTGTATGTAATACGTTGCTGGATTATCTCCAGCATGATAATGATGCAGGAGTGCGATTGTTTGCCCTAATCGCACTAGAAAAATTTGGCATGACAGGGCAAAATAAGCAAAAAATTCTCTCGGCCGAAAAGGATATTTATA